GCAGGAGCAGAAGCGCCAGATCTCCAGCCTCTCCTTCAGCCTCGACCGCGACGACGAGGAGGAGGAGGCCGAGGAGGAGGCGGAGCCAGCGCAGCCAGGTGGGGGCGGGGCCTCAGGGGGCGGGGGCTCAAGGGGGCGGGGCCTGTTTTAACCCCACCCCCTGCAGAGCCCCCCAAGAAGCGCAAGCTGGGCAAGAACCCGGACGTGGACACGAGTTTCCTGCCCGACCGCGACCGCGAGGTAACGAGCCCCCCCCTAATTAATTATGCAAATGAGGGGGGGCCTAGTACCCCCCTTCCCCCCCCCAAACAAGGGGCCCAGGCGTCCGGGCCCCCCCACTTTAGGAGGAGGAGAACCGGCTGCGCGAGGAGCTGCGCCAGGAATGGGAGGCCAAACAGGAGAAGATCAAGAGTAAGGACGAGTTTATTAATTACCATGGATCTTCATTAACACGGGGAGGGGTTAATTAGGGGGAGGGCGGTCCTTACGGGGGGCTCTTGGGGCTCCCGCCCCCAAAATTGCGTTTTTTTCACCTAATTTTCTGCTCCCYTTCCGAAGACGAGGAGATTGAAATCACCTTCAGCTACTGGGACGGCTCCGGGCACCGGCGCACAGTGAAGGTAATGGGGGGGTTTTGGGGACCCCCCCCGGGATTTTGGGGTCCCCCACTGTTTTTTTGCCCCGTTTTGGGTGTTTTTGCCCCCCGTTTTGGGTGGGTTTGTCCTAAATTTGGCTGTTTTGGCGGCAGATGAAGAAGGGCAACACGATGCAGCAGTTCCTGCAGAAGGCGCTGGAGATTCTGCGGCGGGACTTCAGTGAGCTGCGGTGCGGCCCCGAAACGGCCCAAAATCACCCCGAAATGGCCCTGAAATGCCCCCAAAATAGCCCCCCCAAATGTCCCCAAAAATGGCCCCAAAAATGGACCTAAAAATGGCCCCCAAAAGGCCCCAAAATGGTCCCCAAACAGCCCCGAAATGTCCCTGAAATGTCCCCAAAAAAGGTCCTGAAGCGGCCCCAAAACAGTCCCCAAAAGGGCCCCAAAGGGTCCCCAAGAGAGCCTCGAAATGGCCCCAAATAGACCCAAAAATAGTCCCTAAAGTGGTCCCAAAATGACCCAAAACGGCCCCAAAATAGCCCTCAAAGGG